TGGCTCCCTGGCTTCACCTCATTCCCACCCCTGCTTTCATGGTCACAGCGCCTTCTCACCTCTGTGCCTGTCTTCCTTGGACACCTGTGCTTGGGTTTAGAGCTTACCCTAAACCCAGGATGATCCCCTCACAAGGTCGCTTACCGAATTATAGACACAAAGACCCTTTCCCCGTAAAAGTTCATGTTCACTGAAAGGCAGAATATAGGAGTATAACCATACACAGTCCCGCTTTTAAGCCAAAATATATATGCCATATACACATACCACAGAACCACAGTGAGGCTGCGAAGCCCCTGACACGGCTCCCAGGTGCAAAGTTTTCAAAAGGAAAGGAGGAGATCCTGTGGCCCAAGGTAGGACCCCACGGAGGGTGGGCAGGCATGACCGTGTTGCACCCACAGCCCCAGGCAGCAAGGTTCAAGGAGACTGCTGGGCGCCGCTGCTGCCCAGAACTGGGGTTGGATCTGCAAGTGAGGGGGGAAAACTGGAGGGAGGACCAGGGTCCAAAGCCACCATGAAAAGAGGACAAGAGGAGCGCTGTCCCGGGCTTTGGCGGGGCTGCTCTGTGGGTGTTTCCTGGCCCCAGATGTGAGCTAAGAGGAGAGAGTCAGTGCAGTGTTAATGAAGTCCCACAAACCCAGGGCTTAAACAGCAGATCTTGATGCTTGCCAGTCGTGGAGACGAGATCTGAACGCAGGTGTCGCTGCCTGGTGCCCGTCACGACACGGGCACATCACCTCTTCCTTCTAGGTCTCTGCTTTGCCCTCTTACATGGACCTAAGTGGCCGTAGAAAAGCCCACTCTAATCCAGCGTGCCTTCCCCTCGAGTGGTCACGTCTGCCCAGAACCTGTGTAAAGTAATAATTCCGAGGTCTGCACGGACGTGAATTTGGGGGGAATGCTTGTATAAGCAGTACAAGATGGGGTGATCTTGACTGAGTCCAGTATGGCTGAGTAGAGAGGGGAGAGAGAGAGAGAGAGAGAGAGAGAGAGAGAGAGAGAGAGCCAGCAGCTTATGCTGGAAGATGGCCTGGGCTGAACAAGGGCTCCTGGGGAGGGAGCTGTATGTGCTCCGGGCCGGGCAAGGGAACCCAGCAGAGACAGGAACACGGTGCACTTCTAAAGGGCACCCCACAGAAGTGCAGCCTTTCCCACCTGCCAGGCCCCGTCCTCTGAGAATTCCCAGCCCCCTACCCATGCTTGTAGGCTGAGTGCAAACCCCACCCCCGTCTGTCCCCCACTGCACACTCAGCCCCAAACATGTCTGAGAGGAGGAGGAAGGAAGCTGTAAGCTGCTTGGCTTACAGCGTTGCCTGCATGGTGGCACATGTGCTAACACGTATGTGGTAGCATGTGCTGTGTGTGGTACTGTGTCCTACAAGACGGCATCAACCTAGTTAAAGATGGGGGTCTCTTCTAGGACTGAAATCAACCAGAACGCTTTGTGTGATGTCACAGCGATCCCAGCCAGCCAGCCAGCCAGCCAGCGCTATGATTCCCGCATGGGGGAAGGTGGCCGGGACAGCGCTTACAGGGAGCAGAAGACAAAGGTACGTGGTGGGATTCTGGCTGAGTCTTCATGTTCCCACGCGTGGGGCGCAGCCTGTGAGTCCTGCCATCCCCGAAGCCGATCTGTCGGGAGTAGAGACTGGAAGGCTTCCGGCCTGGTGAGAGGTTTAGAATGAGAAGCACTGAGCTCACCCCCCACCCCCACCCCCTGCAGCCAGGCCCTGCTGCCCAGTGCAGGGGCCAGCAGGGGGCCAGGAGGGGGCGAGGAGGGGGACGAGCCGCAGAGAGCGGAGGGCTCAGCCTGGCAGGGGGCTGCCGCCGCCGGGAGCGCTGCTGTGGAAGCCGCAGCCGCAGCCCCGCGCGCGCGCGTTCTCCGATTTAACCGTGACCTAGTTACAGGAGCCCGGAGACAGCGCCAAGCCTGGAGCTCGCTCCTCCCCGCGCGCCCTGGTGGCGCTCCCGCCCGGCCCCTCCAGGTGACTCGCAAAGCCCTCACCGCTGCCCCCGCAGCCACAGCCCCAGGTTCAGCGAAGAAGGCTCAGATGTCGCTGGTGCTGTGTTTGCCTCCTGAGCGAGGCTTTATTTGACTTTCAAGGATGCCAGTTTTCTGTTGAGAGCCAGCCAGGGGAGTCTATTTGATAGCAGAAGAAAAACGCCAGGGTCACAGGCAAAGGAAAATGTGGAAGGGCCCCCAGCCGCTGGTCTGATTTCATCGTCCGGAAACCCCAGGCTGCCATCCGGGGAAGATGAAAGAAAGTAACAGCAGTGTGAACGCAGAGCCGGGTCCTTTGGGGTGAAAAACGTGCCCCCCCCCCCAGCCTGCGTGGCCCTGGCTTTGGGCTCAGAGAGCCAAGGTCAAGGGGCTGGCTTGGGGAGCCATCGAATGCGCATGAGGGGCAAGTGGTCCTTGCAAATCCTGAGAGCCAGAGAGCCCGCCCCCAGCCCACGGTGTGGCTCGCAACACCATTGCTTTGCACCTAACTGGAGAGTTTGGTTCTTTGGGGGTGGGGTGGGGAGGGCAGGACAGAATTCAGAGAGCCGAGGTGTGAACCTCGAGTTTGCAGCTCACGAAGGGGCGAGTCCAAAACAAAACTGACCAGCAAGTGCAGAGATTTCTGGCACCGTCCCCGCCCCTATATGTCCCTGGCCCCTCCCACTGTCGGCATACAGCACCAAAGTGGCGTGTTTGTGACAACTGAGGGACCTACACGGACACTTCCTGTCACCCAGAAGGTTCACTCATGCTGGCGTGCATCCTCTGGGTTTGGACAAATGCGCGCACCATTGTCGTATTACACAGAAGGGTTTCCCTGCCCCAAACGTCCCCAGTGTCCCACCGCTTCCTCTCTGTCTCCTGCATAACCCCGAGTCCTTTAACTGCCTCATGGCTGTGCCTCTGCCCGAATGTCGCTTCCCTGGAATCACGCGGCACGGAGCCACTCCTGTTAACTTCCTTCACTTCTGCACATGCGTCTACCTCTCCTTCAGGTCTTCTCATGGCTGGGTAGCTCTTTCCTTTTTAGAGTTCGTTCTAACTATTGTCTGGATACGCCATGATTGATTTGTCTGTAAACCTGGCAAAGGATGTCTCAGTTGCCTGCTTGGACAATTAAGAATAACGCTGCAATAAGTATATCTGTGTAAGCTTTTTGTGTGCACTTAAAGTCGTTTGGGCAAATACCAATAGGCTTGCTAGGCCACATGATAATAGCGAGCTCAGTTCTGTAAGAAACCGCCAAGGTGTCTGGCACAGGGGCTGTCCCATTTCACATTCACACAGCAGCGGATGACCGTTCCTGTCTCTCTACAACCTCATCAGCATTTGGTGCTGCCATTGCTTTGGATTTTGGTCACTTTGCTAGATGTGTCGCAGTACCTACTTGTTCTGATTTTGCAGATCCTCATTGAGCTACATTTTGCCATCTGCCTGTTTTCCACCCGTGTACCTTCTTTGGTGAGAACTACTTGCAACCTGAAGTTGAGTCGCATGTAGTTCTCTGATTTTCTTCTTGTCTTTCAATCCTTATTTGGGTCTTCTGGGTATCCATAAAACTTAATTAATATGAAAATTCACAGATAACTTACTTGGATTTTTATTGAAATCACATTGAATCTATAGATCTAGTTCGTAAGAATGAACATCTTGATAATACTGAAACGTCCTAACCATGGCAATTTGTGCTCGTTTAGTCTTGTCTGATAGCCTTCCTGGAGTTCTGTGGCTTTCCCTCTGTAGAGCTTGTACCTATTTTGTTGCAATTATGCCTGACTATTTCATTTTGGGGGTTGCTAATGTGAATGGCAATGTGTTTTTATTTTAAATTCGATCTGTTCTCTGTTAGAGTTCAGGAGAACAGTTGCGTTTTTGCTTATCAGAACACGAGTTGTAAGTGGGCAGGGAGTGTGGGTTGGGGGTGTCGACAGTTAAATCTGTGACCCTGTCTCTCAAAGCTGCTGGGGGCAACGGAGGGAGTAATCATAACTGCTCGTGACAGTCTGATGGTTCCTTTCCAAATTCATGTCGAAGCCCTAATCACTAACGCAATATAGTATTTGGAGGTGAATAGACTTAGGCGAGGTCACAAGGGTGGGAACCCCAATGCTAGATTGGGTCCACCTGTAGGAAGAGGAAGAGGGACCAGCCCGTGGCTCTTTCTCCTTTCTGTGCGAAAGGGCAGCCACCTGGGAGCCAGGAAGAAACCTCTGATCCTAGACTTCTCAGCCACAGGAACCTGGTAAAGAAATGCCTGGCGTTTACGCCACCACCCTACCCCCACCCCCATAAAGTGGAAGACATCGTTCCTCTGTCCCTGCATCATCCTGGAAACCACCTGCAGCTCACCCCTGTGCAGAGTCCACGTGCTACTTCGGACCAGTGCCCACAGCTGTTGCTATGGCAACTGCAGCCAGGCCCCTGACCACACAACACCATTGCAGGCTGTGCTTAGACTTGGGGCGTCTGCTTGCTCCGTGACCTCTCAGAGCACCTCTTCCTCACTCGGTTTTCCCCCTCATCAAGCAGTCTGACGTGACAGGAGTGTGCGGTAGAGACCACAGAACAGGGAAGAGGGCAGCCCGGAATACTCAGTTGAGCAATCTGTTCATTTGAAAAGGGGGAGATTTTAAATAAACCAGACCTTGACATCTCTGCATATGGACTCTTCACAGAGTAATTCTTACCTTGTCCTTGACCTGTTCTCTTACATACACGTAGAGAACACGCTACAGACCCTGAAGAAATGAGACGCCCATGTTATAAATGTGTATAAATGTATTCCATGCTCAACGTTAAGTCTCTTGTCGCAACCTGGGAAGGACAGTAACACAGGACAGGGTAGCCCCAGGAAGCAGCCTCACAGGCGAGAGAGCTGACCCAGCTTCTCACACCCGCCGTGGCCTGGGCGAGGGAGGGACCATGCGGTGTGTGACATGTTGGCCACAAGTCAGGCCCCATGAGACATTCCAGGGAAAGAAAACAAGGAAGAACATTAAATATTTGAACTCTGGCAATTTTTAATCCCAGCTCTGAAGGCACAGGAGCATCAGCCAAGTCCATCTTAAAGCCGTGAGCGCCTGTCCAGGGGTCCCAGGAGAGCCACACAGTCATGCTTGTCCACACGGCTGCTGATTCCACAGGAAAGAACGGCTCTGATCAGACTGGCGAGGGACTCCAGCTGCTGTCTCCCGGTGGCACAGCGACACCTGCAGGAGGAGGTTGGCACTGCTGGTCCTCTACAGAGGTTGGAGCTGAAGGGAACCCCCGCTGTGACTGCACTCCTCAACCCCACGCTGAGGACAGATGGGTACCTCTCCAGGAAAATTTACAAAGCCCTTGTGTGGCAGAAAATTCCTCTCCTGAATTCTAGCCTGTAGGACCTGCTCATGCTTGTTCTTGGGTACAGCTCGCTGGGAGTTCCGAGTGCACAGGTCCAGTGGCCCCCATCTGCGTCTTTTGACACCAAGCTGGTGAGCCCAGTATGGCTCTGATCCTGCTGGCCTGCGAAAACCTATGGAACTGGAATTGTTTGGGAAGGGCTGGGATGAGCTGGGAGGCAGAAACCTTGCTTAACAACAATATTGACTTGCACAGACCCTATGTACACATCGATAGAAAAAAACCAGATAGTTTTGTAATCAGTCTTTCCACATCCCCACATTCTCCTGGGCCAGTGACCTGGCTAAGCAAGGACTGAATATGTCCAAGCCTAGGGTTTGCTGATAAGCTCTCTCTCTTTCCAGAAGAAAGTGAAAAAAAAAATGTGTTGGGAAAACATATTTGGAAAAGGCTGGTGAACCCAAAGATTGGCCAACTTAAAAAATGCCGATTAATTTATAAATTACTACATCTGTAGTTAATATCCTGCCCTGAACGTAAACGTGGTCACATCTGCTCTCCATGGATGCTGAAAAACAGAGGCCTTTATAAAGCTAGCGTTGGAGGTTGGGAGGCAGAGCGAGGTGTCGCAGGGAGGCTGTAAAGACAGAAGGGAATTCACACTGGTACCCAAACCAGAGACAGCACAAGAAGAGACTACAGAGCCTTCTCCTCTATGAATGACGACATAAACATCCCACATGAAACGTATTAAAGAGCAGGAAACCAGCGGGGCTGTCCTGAGATGCTGTTGACACAGCTCACCTTGTTCTATTTTTGATAGAAAACAAATAACATCAAGATATTTGACAAAGTTCAATACACATTTATGCTATAAACTCTTAATATTGGAAGAACAGGTACAACTTTAATGGGATTAAAAACACAGTCACAGTTCCACCAAACCCGAAGCCAGCATTGTGCTAAACGGAGAAACACTAAAATGCTTTGGAGAGTGCTGGCAAAGGGAGGGAGGAACGGAACACCAGCAGCTGGTCGGTGATCTACTAGTTAGCCCTGCTGGAACACACTCAGCAGAGAGCACAGGAAAAGAGTAACCGCTGAAAACTGGAAGGAGAGGCAAAGTGATCACCATGTGCAAAAGCAATGGTTGCCTACGTGCAGTACCCAGAGTATCAGCTGAAAACCTATTAGCAACAGTTTACAACTTCAGCAGGAAGACAAGAGCAACACTGGATCTGTGTCAGCCAATCTTGCATTATAAAATAAAATGACAAAAGATCCCATTTAAAACCAATACAAAGAATAATATTCACAAATAAATTTAAAAGAAATGCAAATAAACATGTCAGAAAATTCTTAAACTCTATGAAGGGACATAAAAGGAGACGTCAGAAAATGGAGATGGGTATTTTAGTTTTACAGGGCAAAACTCAAAAATCTAAAAATGTCAATCTTTTCTACAAAAATCTAAAAATCGGATCAGATTAATTTGATTCAGCATGCCGATGGATTTTTTTTCCCCAGAACTTGAGAACTGGCCTTAAAGCTGTACTAAAATATGCACATGGGTATATCCAGGAAAGCTCTGGACAACAACAGGGGAGTGAGGACGAGGCTGCTGTAGGTACTTGCCCCACTTGGCACTGAAAGCGGCAGTAAGCGAATCAGTGTGCTACGGCAGCAGAATTAAACTGCATCACCGACGTCCAGGCTCACTAACTTAGTGACCGTTCATCCAGAGAACAGCCCTTGTGACCTCTTCATCCAAAGCCACAGCAACTGAGGTGGGTTCCGGCCGTGGCGAAGCACATGACGGGGTCTGGGCCCTCACGTCATCAACCCTCTCACTACCCAGTCGACCTCGCTCCAGGAGTGGCACCAAACTGGGGTGCCCTTGTAGCTAAGGGGTCTGGGGAACACAGACCCTGGTCCCAGGGTGCTTCCTGGTGACCCCTGCTGGTTCCTATGTTGACAAACCCAAAGGAGAAGCAAGACAGTATTCTCATGGAGACAGCGATTGGCTAGGATTCTTCCTTCTCTTTAGCCACCAGATAATTTTTTATTAATAATGTTTTAAATATTCATTTATTTAGCTGAAAGGCAGAGTGACGGAGAGAGGGAGAGAGGGAGAGAGGGAGAGAGAGAGAGATCCGTTGTTTCATTCCCCAGATGGCTGCCACAGCCAGAATTGGGCCAGGCAAAAGCCAGAGGCCAGGAACTCCATCTGGGTCCCACACGGGGCAGCAGGGGACCAAGCACTTGGGCTGTCTCTGCTGCTTTGCTAGGCTCAATAGCAGAGAGTTGGATTGGATGTGGAACAGCTGGATTGGAACCGGTACTGTGACATGGGGTGCCAGTGTTACAGGCGATGGCTGAACCCACAGAGCCACAACACTGGCCCTATAAATTTAATATTTTGGACTATTTTTTGGTTTATAGAAAAACTGAGCATACAGTTTCCATTTACTCCCTCTCCCTGCCTCCACCTCAAATGATTTATTCTATTATTAATGTCTTGCATGAGTGTGTTTGTTATAACTGATAAGCCAGTGTTGATACATCATTAGCCCCGGTTCATAGTTTGCATAGGACTCAGTGTGTGTGGCGTTTATCCCACGGGCTTTGGCAGAGGATAATGCCTCATGTCCACTGTGAGGGTACTGTACAGAGTAGTTTTGTTGCCCTACAAGTCATCTGAGCTTCCTGAGACTGTGTTACAGCCATTGTGCTTTGATGTAAAATGTGCTAAACAGTCACTTCCTGCATCCTCAACTCTCACAGTCCTTGACTAACACCACTCTTCTGCCATCAGTTTCTCATCTAAAAATCTGATGGTGTTGTTTTTAAAAACCAGGCAATTACAAGAGTTTTGCAGGAAAAGTAAGGCCTTTATTACAGACTGGAACTGGTGAAAAACAAAATTACATGGTGTCTTTCTCCACTGGAACTTCTTTTCCTCCCATGAGCCTTCCTGTTGAAAGAGAGAAGGGGGAAGAGGGTTCAGTCTCCCTGGTGTGCCTTCACACTCCTGCTTGGATGCCCAAGACCAGGATTCGTGGACATGGTTCACTTACAGACCCAAGAGGCTCTTTGCACACAGTACAAAGCAGGCAGCTGCTTGAACAAAGAGCAGAGGTGAGAGAGGACTACAGGAAGAAGAGATCACGGGGTCTGGGGAACGGAGACCCAGCCCCAGAGAGGAAGCTCGAGGTCTGGGGAACGGAGACCCAGCCCCAGAGAGGAAGCTCGAGTCTCAAGAAGGGAAGACCAGAAAGACTGAGGAAAACCTGCACTCCTAGGGCTGGAACTGTGGTGCAGAGGGTAAAGCCACTGCCTGCAGTGCCCGCATCCCATATGGGAACTGGGTCCAGTCCTGGCTGCTCCACTTTCCATCCAGCTCTCTGCCATGGCCTGGGAAAGCAGTGCAAGATGGCCCAAGTCCTTGGACCCCTGCATCCACATGGGGAACCCAGAGGAAGCTCCTGGCTCCCCGCTTCGGATCAGCTCAGCTCTGGCCATTGCATACATTTGGAGAGTGAATCAGTGGATTCTCTCTCTCTCTCTCTCTTCCTCTCTGCAACTCTGCTCTTCAAATAAACAAATAAATCTTAAAAAAAGAAAGAAAGAATATCTGCACTTGGACTCCAGTGCTGGGACTCAGCCTGTTTTAAGGAGGTACTGGTGATGTGATGGTGAGAAGGAAGGGACCAATAAAACCATTAAAGGAGTAGGCTGGCCACTGCCGTGGTCATGTGGAGATGAGACTAGGCATCCACCCATCCATCCATTCTTCTGTCCACCCATCCATTCACCCATTCATCCATCCATCCATCTGTCCTCACATCTATCCATCTACCCACCCATCCTTCCTTCCATCCATCCATCCACCCATCCACCCATTCATCTGTCTACCCATCCACCCATTCATCTGTCTACCTATCCATCTACCTACTCACCCATCCGCCCATCAATCCATAGACCCATCCATCCATCATCCTTTCATTATCAGTTTATCCATTGAGTAAGCATATATGCATTCAGCATTTACTAGGGGTTGTAAAAATCACTAACACACGACCTCAACTTCAAAAACCAAAACCAAAACCATGGGCTAGTGGAGAAGGCGGCGGTAGTTGGAGCACAGCACAGTAAAACAGCTCCAGGGGTGCCTACAAGCAGGAGACCCCACGGAAAGGCATTTCTGGAGGAGACAGGCGGGCTGCACTCAGGATCGGGGGGTGGGGGGGGTTGCACTGCAGCAGCAGGGTCCCGGGAATGGAGGTGGGACCCACAGTGGGGGCAGTGAAACAGTCAGCTGTTGGAGACCCTTTCCTGTGAATCAGGGGACAGAGAAGGATCGGAACCTGGGACCCAGACAGGGTCCCACATTGCTAAGGAACTCTGACCCCAACCTCCAGGTGAGCAGGGCTCTTGGCCTGGTAAGAACCTGTGCTAAGGAGATGTTTGACACGTGCCCGCTGAGGGAAACAAGACAAAACCACAGGAAGAACCCAGTGCTGAACACACCAGGTAGGAAAGGACGAGGCCAGATGGGAGCAGACAGCGTGGAGAGAGGCCAGAGCTGTGGAACCCTTCAGAAGATGGACTGGAAGAACACGGTGACCAATTGGAGAGGGAGGAGAGAGGCGGAGAAGAATCAGTTCCAGGCCAGGGTAGCTGGGACATGAGCTCAATGCAGGATGAAGCCTTGGTCCCCAAGAGGGGATGGCCTTGAGCATGGTGTAGAATATCAGGATGGGGTGTCTCCGTGCCGTGGCTTACTCACGGAGGCCAGGGTGGAATAGAGGTCGGAGTAAACCTCACACAGGTGAGCAGCGAAGCCCTGGGGGTGTGTGGCACGGCCATGAGTGGAGGCAGAGTCCTGCTGGGAACCCTGGGGAGCATCCCTGTTGCAGGGGCAGCGGCAGGAAGAGCAGGGGTCCATCCGTGAAGCACAGGCCAAGGTTGGCTGGAGAGGAGAACTGGCGGAGGGAGCCAAGGTCTCAGACGTCAGAGGGTTTCAGGAAAGAAGCAGCCCAGGCAGCTGAGAGGTTCATGGCGAAGGGTGGACTTAGCGGGTCAGGGAGGCAATGGAGAGGCGGTCACTGCGCAGGCCAGGTCCTGGGGCAGCAAAGCAGACTGGTTATTTTGGGACAGGATAAGAAGGACACACGGAGATGAAAGAGATTCTAAGCATAAGCTGGGTGCAGGGAACCACTGTGCACTTGGCCCCTGTTATTCTGATTCTGTGTGGGAATTCACCTGCTCACTAATCCTTATTTGTAACCCCAGGCAGGGTGCCTTCTCACTCATTCTTAGACATGCACTGGGCAGGGAGGGCTTTCAGTCACTCTACCCAGGTGCTCCAAGCTGAGGTCAGACAGGGCAAGGCTGCGCTTCCTGGGGTCAGTTCTCGGGCTGTGAACAAGCATGTTTTTGGAGCTCTATGGAGTGCCAAGGTTTTCCCCCCATTATTATGCTTTATGTTGATCATGTCACCATCTAAAATGAGCGCCCCTAGTTCGGGGCTGCCTGGTGTTCCGGAGAAAGTGGGTGTCAGGCCAGCTTCGCTCAGATGTGAGTCTCCCGCTGTTGCCCATGAGTTCAATGTCATGGGTCGACAATACACACAAAACAAAACCACACACAAACAAGATTTCCTACGGACCCACCGAGGGCAACACGACCAGAGGCTCAAGGGAGACTTGAATCTCCTGTAATGACTGGGTACCCACGAATTCAGCGTTGGCAGTGACTTTATACCAACTGCTGGTAACGAGACCTGGCTGTGTTTGGTGAAGTAGCTGGCAGGACTGTGCCAAACATGAGCGTCAGAGAAAAGCATACATGATTCTAGTTGCCGTAAGTTTCCACCTGTGGAGCCTTGGTTGGGTCTTTTCCAACTTTTGGGGGGGGTGGATCTGGCTCCCTTCTGTGGGTGGGCATCAGGACAAGGGGTAGTCACTGCTGACATCCAAATGTTGAAGTCACTCAGCAAGCCACTGGGCAGCCCCTGTACCTGGTGGTGGAGAGCTCTGCCTCCAACACTTCCTATCCATTCAAACCTTTGCCTTTTAGTTGGCAGCTACACATCCGGCTCTCCCCCAACACGTGACAAATGCGTCTTAGACAAGTAACCCTGGATGCTGTGCTGTCTTGTGCTATTTTCCAAATGGGGGACGTGTCCCAGGAAGCAAAAGAGAGGCTGCGGGAACACACGGACATCAAGAGCTAAAGCCCCGCTCCACCCCCCGCTGCCTCTGACAGCAGGGGTCTCTGAATGTCTCTGCTTCCTTACCTATAAAACAGAGACTGTAGGAATGCAACTGCATTTGAACTGTGACAGGGTTCACAGAAGGCAGTGTGTGGGAAGGGTTCTCACCCTTGGGAGTGGAGGTGCTCCTGGGGCCAGGGGCCAGGCACAAAGTGGGCATTAGGGGAACGCAGCTGAGTGAATGGCTGGGATCATGAGATGGATTCTTTTCACTGTGGACCAAAGGCCTGAGGATGAACTGCCCCTTGTGGCTCCAGGGCATAGCTTCAGAAAGCCACACATGCCAGCGCTGCAGCTCAATAGGCTAATCCTCCGCCTGCAGCGCTGGCACACTGGGTTCTAGTCCCGGTCAGGGCGCCGGATTCTGTCCCGGTTGCTCCTCTTCCTGTCCAGCTCTCTGCTGTGGCCCGGGAGTGCAGTGGAGGATGGCCCAAGTGCCTGGGCCCTGCACCCACATGGGAGACCAGGAGAAGCACCTGGCTCCTGGCTTCGGATCAGCACGGTGCGCCAGCCGCAGCGCGCCGGCTGCAGCGGCCATTGGAGGGTGAACCAACAGAAAAGGAAGACTTTTCTCTCTGTCTCTCTCTCTCACTGTCCACTCTGCCTGTCAAAAAACAAACAAACAAAAAAAGCCACACAGGGGCCGGCGCTGGTGCGTAGCTAGTAAAGCCACCACCTGTGTCGCTGGCATCCCACATGGGCACTGGTTCATGTCCCAGCAGCTTCATTTCTGATCCAACTCCCTGCTAATGTGCCTGAGAAAGCAGCAGGTGATGGCCCGAGTACTGGCCATTGCAGCCATCTGGGGAGTGAACCAGCGGATGGAAGAGCTCGCTTGCTCTCTGATTTTCAAATAAATAAATCTTTAAAACAAAACAAATGGAAAGCCAGCAGAGCCGCCCGGTGGCCTGAAGGGAGACCCCTTCCTCACACTGCTCGGCTGGGGACGGGGGTTCTCCAGAGAGACAGGGCTGCAAAGTCCCAAGAGTTTCCACTTCTAAACACCCAGACGGCAGAGGACTCGCCTTTCAACTGATCCCTGGGGCATGCTTTCTCTTTCCTATTTTAAAGTAACAAAGTAATTTTGTCAGAGCTGTGTCTTCAAAGGTTACATTGCACTCTCCATTCTTCCATATTCAGCCTTTTCTAGCAACGGAAGGAGTTCCAGAGCACTCGTTACATTACAGATCAATGCATCAGCTCCTGGCTTATTCCGCCGACTGAGGCCAGGCTCTGGGGATCCCTTGACAAATGGGGTGGCCCTCATGGAATGCCCATGATTTGGAAACGGCAACCTTGCTTTTGATCGGACGTTCACGCACTCCTTCCTTCCAGTCTGATGGACTCCCCTCTACACCCACTCTTAGCATTCTGAAGCTGAGCAAGGGCGACGTGGCCGAGAATTTCACATGCATGCACACGGCATCGATGACATGTTCACTTCGTATTAGACCAAGTAGTTCTCAGACACGACAAGGCAAGGCAGCCTCGAGACCACGGCCTCGCAGGGACAAAAATGAGCAAACAGTAAAAGACCCCTGGGGAGGCTGAGCCCCGAGAGAAAGAGGCGGCCTCACCTCTGTAGGCATCAGAGACGGCTCACAACCAGCTCTGATGGGTCCACACCCACCCGATGAGCCTCTTCCCGGGGCCCACTGTCCCTGGCTTCCTGGCCACATTTGCTGGTTCTAGGGACTCAGAGCACAGTGTAGACACTCGTCCCGCTGAAGGCCATTCATTGGAAGACAGGGACATCACCAGGACATCAATCAAAACCAACATTGAGGCCAGTGCTGCATACTCCGGTCTTTGGTTTGTGGCGCCTTTAACCTGACATGTTGGCAGGGATCCCTTTCTTTATAGAAATCAGATGCTGCATTTAAATTGCAGTACATATATGCACACATGCTCAATTGTAAACTACCATTAATCAACAAAATGCAGCCAGAGCATCGAGAGTTTTACTCTGTGGCCCTATGAGAACCTCTGTAAAGCAAAAGGAAATGATTTTGGTTTATAAAAGAGGAATACGATGAGTTCATTTCTTCCTAATGAGTAGCTTCCTTGATCTCAGTATGAAGCTGGTTTTTATTTTTAGAGTGCGCCACAGATTAGAAAGAAACCCTACCGTTTGCATTTTTCATCCAAGGCGGCCTCATTGGTGAATTTTTCTTCTATTTTAGTAAAATGTCATTTGACTCCTTTCAGATGCCAGTGGTTAAACATTAACTGTGCTATGCTTGCTTGACTGCTTTTTGGTAAAAGACCTCGATGAGCCAAAGTAAAGGGGTCCATCACCCACCACGTAAAGTACTGAGAGAGTACTGGGTGTGGCTGGTTCTGGGCAGGGCACGGGGGAGCCATGGCAGAGGAAGCTGCTCGGGCCACCCTGGACAGTCGGATGGGCAGAGAGGGAACCAGCAATTGTACTGAGCACTCCCTGGAGATGCAGAAAGGGACATCATCTGTGACTTAGTGGTTTGTGATGGCAAAGTTCACCTCCCAAAGGGAGTTACAGCTGAGCTGGGATGACGATGCTGTAGGTTACAAAAGAGAAACTTGGGAGGAAGTTAGCTGAGCTTCAGGGGCTCATGGGATACCCCTGGCAACCAATTGCAGTAGTCAGTTGACATTGGGGCTGGATCTCAGGACAGAAGGTGGTAAGAGACACATATGGGGACATAAGTACACATCAGTGATAGTTAAAACCCAGCAAGGGGAAGAGATGACAGAGCAGTCTACAGAATATGGAGAGGACTGGGCTAGGGAGTTAAGTTATTTATCAGGAAGATGGAACTGGGTCATACTGCATAGATTTGTAGGATTAAAATCCAATTTGCAAAATGAATGGGAGGTTGGGGCAGCAGCCATAGGCCGCACCTGTATCAACACACTGAGCGGGGGGGGGGGGGGGGGGGGGGGAGGCTGTGGTGAGTGGCACTGGGCCGAAGGAAGGGACTGGTGGCTTTTCTTGTCATGTGTTGGCTGGTCTTAAGCAGAGAAAATTGGTCACATCCGTGACAACAGACCCGAGTGCTGTGGGGAAGACTGAGAGGGCATGAGCTTGGGAAGACGGTTGAGGATCTGGGAGGAGATGAGAGGAGGCCGAAGGCGGGGCTTACAGGTGAGCAGAGATGCACAGATGCGTGGTGGTGAGCAGGTTACAGCGTGCCTTCCAAGCAGGAGCCAGGCCCGGTCCTTACCTCAAGGCCATCACTCAAAGACAGGACTTATTCTCGCTCTGCGCTGGTAGTTCGGGAACCTTCCATTTCCAGGGGGAAAAGCCCTTCTCACGGTCTCTAAGACAGAAAGGGCACACAGAGGCTCTGCCGGTCATACCAACCTCCAACACACCCTGGGGTTGTGACTATGAATTAATAAGAAGGACCTTCTCCGTGGACCCACCCACCAACTCAATACCAAGGATGCCGCAGCCCTGTGAGTCTTAGCCAAGCTTCCCTCACTCTCCCGCACTGCGCTGCCGTGGGACCAGGGCTTGTGTCTGCCCCCTTGGCATTACCATGCGTGGTCTATCTCAGCCGCTGCTCTAAGCCCTCGAGGGCAGGGACTGCCCTATTTATCCTCCCGTCCTCTGTGAGATCTGCCTCATGACTGTCACACACATTTCTTGAGTTAAATTAAATTGTCACGTTCAAGGCAGTTTCTGAGACTGCGTCCATGGTGCTCCCAAGGCTCAAAATATTTTCAGAATTTGGCTTAGAAATACCTTATGAGTCATGGAAAAGGACTGGTCACTTTAACTTAGGGCCATACAGTGTTTTTCTCTTAAATGGATTTGTCCAGTGCCATAGCCAGCCCCCAAGATGGTCTCCCATCGTTCATAATCCAGTAGTCCCCTCCCACATCAGTCTGTGTGATCAACAAAACACACACGTGATGACATCACCCCTCCTTACGCAGGGGGCATGGCTCCAGGGCCCCCTACAACAGAGTGCTCAAGTCTGACATAAAATGGCATGATACTGCAAATAACCTATCTACACACATTTTCCCCTATACAAGGGGACCTCAGGAAGTTCAGGGAAAATGGAATTAAAAGATAAGCTGGTTTTGGTGCAAAAAAAATTTTTTGAATGCATGCATAGTTTTTTGTTGTTGTTGATCTGACTTATTAGATTTGTTTCCAAATGACTGTAGGCTACTCCCAAAATCAAAGCAAGACTGACACCAGTACAGAGAATAAAAAAAAAAAAAAAAAACCAGGAACAAACAAACAAAAAAGAACAGAAGCATTTGCATTCCAGAAACATTCAAATAAAAACATTTTTCAGCAGTGATCACACTGTTACAATAACCCAAAGTGTCAAGCTGGAAGAGGTAGAAAGCCTAGCCACCTTTGCTGTGTTGTTTCAATCCAGCCTCATGTTCTAAGCACTAACACTTCACGTAAATTGAAACATTGTCTAGGGAAGACCAAATATTAATCTCATTGAAATGCATTGATGTCTGTGTTCTTCACTCCAACGAAACGCTTTGAACATGGGGCAGAGTCCACCATGCTTCCGGAAAGCAGCATGCAACGCACACAGGCGCTAGAGCCCCAAAACCCTGTCCAAAGTCCTGTCTGCCGCTCTGCCCGGCAGAGTCCCACAGTGGCAGCACCATCCTGAGTACTCAGAGTGCCTCGCTGAGCCTTGGTTTGCTCCCTGAAGGAGTGAGGAAGGACACAGAGCTGCCTCGCGGGGTGGTTGTGAGAGTTGAAGGAGCAAATTGTGGTAAGCGACTGGTACATACAGGGTGAGCGTTTGTGTATTTCCATTAACGCCGTGAGTCGGGACTCACTTCTCCAGCTGCACAGGCAGGTCAACGTGCACCTGTCACAGAGCTCTGGTAAATATAACAGGAGAAGGCAGATCTGTCTGAGGGGCGGGACTAAGTGGTAGCTTCATCCGCTTCCTAAGGAGTTTGGTGGGGCACAGAAGAGATGCACTCCTTGGAGTTTGGGCCGCTCAGGAAACGCTCACGGCGGAGCAGGAGAAAAGCTAAAGCTCTGGGCTCCATTACGTTGACTTGCAAAGTGGGCTCCTGTATGACTATTCTTTTCACTGTCACTCGTGATGTGTCATATTCCAGGGACTTGGTTCCCAGGAGATGGGCTCAGCAGGGGTGGGGCTGCTCAGGAAAGCAGCTGGTGGTGTCCACAGCGGGGGTGGGCCACTTACCGAGCGACGGATCGTATAAGCGCTGGCTCCTGGGCTCATCACGGGTGAGGCCTGTAACACAGCAGCATCACAAATGAGATGCCTGTGCCTGCCTCTAGAACTCTCTGTAATTTTATTACTGACGCCACAAATGTGCTTTGTAAGCAAAGAAGCAACGGGAGATTACTAAGGAGTCTCACTGCCAACAGCACCCATAGGAAAAACTCTCAAGGGTGCAGACCTGGCCCCTAAGTCCTCGGACAACATGCCAATCCCATCTGGAAGGTGAGACCACACGACAAAGAACCAAAAGAGAGCCCTTGTCCTCCAGCCAAGACTCTCGAAGGCACGGTCAGCTCCAGGCACCCCCAGAGGACCGCAGAGGCCAGTTGCAACCAGTCAGGTGCGGTTCGGCCCTGATTCTCCCGGCTCTACCTTATGACACACCTGGGCCCTGTGACTGAGGCGGTACCCAGGGAGGAACCCGCACGTCCCAACTAGGGGACCCTCTTGAGGGGAAGCCCTATTGGCCCTGTGTATCTGAGAGAGATGCTGAAATCACCAAATGCACTCGTGTATTGAAACAAACTGTACAAATATAAAGTGTGAAATGAACACTTGTGTTATTATGACCTAGTGGTAAGAATCTAAAGTGGGGCCAGCACTGTGGTGCAGCGGGTTAAAGCCCTGGCCTGAAGCGCTGACATCCCATATGGGCACTGGTTCGAGTCCTGGTTGCTCCACTTCCGATCCAGCTCTCTGCTGTGGCCTGGGAAAGCAGTAGAAGATGGTCCAAGTGCTTGGGCCCCTGCACCCGCCTGGGAGACCCAGAAGAAGCTCCTGGCTCCTGGTTTCGGATCGGCACAGCTCTAGCTGTTGTGGCCATCTGGGGAGTGAACCAGCCAATGGAAAACCTCTCTCTGTCTCTACCCCTCTCTGTAACTCTGTCTTTCAAATAAATAAATCATTAAAAAAAAAAGAATCAAAAGTGAAACAAAATGCTTATTTATATAATTACCATATTTGAAGGTTTTATATATAGATATTTCTAGCTTTAAATGACTCACTAACAAAGAGCTTCAGTATGAAGTCCTTTCAGAAAAACAAACATGAGGAACCCATCTCAGCTTACCCAGTGGATACTCATTTCTCCATGTGTAGGCTCGCACCATGTCTCCAAAAATCATCTAAGGAAATGCAGCAATCGGTACACACCCACGCATGGAAAAGAAAAGAAGCCACACTGTAAGACAGTGAATATTACCCAGAGGGCTCTGACACAGAATTCTTTTCTAATGAAATAAAGTGGCTTATTAACTCATGAGATACCAAAGATGGACATTTACAAAAGCACTCAGGCAAGAACAACCTACACGGAGTTGAAACGGACTCCAAACCTTTCAGGACACTCCAAACGGACTCCCAGATGGCGCGGGTCGGAAGCAGGATTGTGCTCTATATACTGACAGACCGAGCTGAATTCTAGGATTCTCTCTCTGTGAGGTCTCCATGACATCTCCAGTCGAGAAAGGTTTTCATGGAGCCACTGAAATTCCACAGAACAGTCCCCAAAGCGAGGTGACTGCTTGGATCACCACCTTCCCCGAGGGCCCTGGTGCCCACGGTGCCCCCCGGCCAGTGGCCTAGGAGGGGTGTACGCCAAGACCATTCCGTGGAGAAACAGCAGTGGTTTCAACAAATGGCACTGGCACAACTGGAGATCCCCACTGCAGTCCCTTCCTCACACAAAACAGAAGTCAGAAGGGGTCACAGCCTAGCTGTGGGACATGCAAACTGCAACGGAAAAAGAGCAAACTGAAGTTCATCAAAGGGCACCACGGAGAAAGTGGAAACACAACACACGTAACCCAGCAATTAGAAAACACAAGTAAGACTGAGAAAATGACTTGGTAGGTATTTCTCCAGGAAGCTTTACAAATGACAATCATCAGGCATTTGTCACAGTCCTACAGCCCAGGACCCCAGTGTAGATGAAGGCTGAAGGAGGAAACAGACACTGCACTGAAACCCCACGCATCACTAAAGCCAATGCAGGGCATTCGTCCACACCCTCGGTCACAGCCCCAGCAGAAAGTCTTCCTGTGAAAGCCACCCTACAAAATTGGTGGAATAACTAACCCACCAGATGCAAAAAACCAACGGAGGGGGCCGGCACTGTGGCATAGCGGGTAAAGCCACCGCCTGCAGTGCCGGCATCCCATATGGGCTCCAATTCGAGTACCGGCTGCTCCACTTCTGATCCAGCTCTCTGCTGTGGCCTGGGAAAGCAGTAGAAGACGGCTCAGGTCCTTGGGCCCCTGCACCCGTGTGGGAGACCTGAAGGAAACTCCTGGCTCCTGGATTCAGATCAATCAGCTCTGGCCATCTGGACAGTGAACCAGCAGATGGAAGACCTCTCTCTCTTTCTCTCCCTCCCTCCCTCTCTCTCTTTCTCTCTCTGCTTCTGCCTCTCTATAACTCTGCCTTTCCCACAAATAAACAAATCCTTAAAAAAATAATGGAGAGGCACAGAAGTATGAACAAACAAGATAACATTATGCCTCCAAAGGACCATAGTAACTCTACTGTGAAACAATGGGAATGGACAAATAGCCTAACAAAGAATTCTAAATAATGATTTTAAGGAAGCTTAATTAAATTCATAAAAATACAGAGAGATAATTCAATTACATTAGGAAGACAACTCATGATATGGATGAGAAAGTCAGGAAACATACAGAACACGAAAACGACAAGGCAGAAATCTTGGAGCTAAAGAATTCAATGAATAAAATTTAAAAATACAATTGAGGACCTCAACAGCAGAGCTGAGTGAGAAGACCTTCTGAGCTTGAAGACAGGTCTTTTGAAATAACCCCATTACCCCAAAAGAAATACGAAGAGCCCAGCAGGTAAGTCCCTGATCAGGATGCCCACATCTTCCATCCGAGCGCCTGGGTGCAATTCCTGGCTCTGACTCTGACTCCGGCTTCCTGATAAGACAGGCCCTGGGAGGCAGGCAGTGGCTCAAGCAGCGGGATTTCTGCCACCGACATGTGAGCCACGTATTGCGTTACTGCCTCTCATCTTCAGCCCTGGCTCAGCCCCAGCCATTGCAGGCACTTGCAGAGTGTGAGAGCTCTCCATTTCTGTCTGTCTTTCTGCCTCTCAAATACATAAAAATATATAAATAAAAGAAATTTAAAAGAACAAAAACAGCCTTCAAGACTATGGGACACCATCAAGTTATATATTGTTCCAGAAGGAGAAAATATGGGTAAATTATGCAAAGAAAGTCCATTCAAGGAAGTACTTGATGAAAAATGTCTGAATCTAGAGAAAGATATGGACATCTAGGTCCAGGAAGCCCAAAGGATCCCTAACAGATTCAACCCAGAAACTCTCCAAGTAACACCGTAGTCAAACTGTCAGAGAGGAGGGAGGGAGGGAGGGAGGGAGGGAGAGAGAGAGAGAGAGAGAGAGAGAGAGAGAATTCCAAAAACAGTGAGAGAGCAAGTCACCCATAAGTGACTCTGCATTCGGTTAACAGCAGACTTCTCAGATAAAACTTTGCTGGCCAGGAGAGAAAGAGATTAAATATCCAAAGTCCTGAATAAACAACATTGCCTGCCAAGGGTGCTAGACCCAGCAAATCTACCCTTCAGAAATGAGGGGAAGACTTTCCATGCCAGCCAGAAGCTGAAGGAATTCACCACCAGCAGACTGCCCCGACAGAGTGCTTAAGGGAGCCTCATTAGAAGCAAAAGTATGGGTCTGGCACTGTGGCGCAGAGGGTTAATGCCCTGACCTGAAACGCCGGCATCCCATATGGGCGCCAGTTCGAGTCCTGGCTGCTCTACTTCCCATCCAGCTCTGCTGTGGCCTGGGAAGGCAGTAGAAGATGGTCCAAGTCCTTGGCCCCTGCACCCAGGTGGGAGACCAGGAAGAAGCTCCTGGCTCCTGGCTTCGGATGGGGGCAGCTCCAGCCGTTGCAGCCAACTGGGGAGTGAACCAGCAGAGAGAAGACCTCTCTCTCTCTCTCTCTCTCTCTCTCTCTCTGCCTTTCCTATCTCTGTGTAACTCTGACTTTCAAGTACAATAAATAAATCTTAAAAAAAAAAGCAAAAGTATACTAACTGCCATTATGAAAACATGCAAAAATGCAAACATCAACAGTAGAGCAGACACACAAAAGAGAAAGAGAAGGGATTTAAGACTATTCATATTTAATTTTTATTTTTTTCTCGATTTTATTCACTGTAGAGTTAGTCAGGGGCTTTTTCATCTGTATTAATTAGGACTATGGCCCAGTACTTTTTTCCCTTTTATTCATTAGGTTTTGATATCAGGCTTACACTGGTCTTTTAAAATGAGTTGGAAAATACTTATCCTGTATTTTCTGAAAGAACATATTAGTGGGCTGTTATTTATTTTTAAAAAGTTTGATGGAATGCATTAGTGAAATTACTTAGGCCTTTGCTTACCTGTAGAGGAGGATTATTTTAAATGGATTTAATTTCTTGAATACATATGAGGCTAATCAAAAATTATTTTATTTCCATGTCAGTTTTTTCAATTTGTGTTTTTGAAAAAATGCATTCACTTTAAATAAGTTGCCAAAAGTATTGACATAGTATAATATCCTTTAAAAATTGTAAATAGAGCTATGCTATGACCTGGCATTCCAATACTGATATACTACAGGAGAATAAATCAGTGTCAAAGAGGCATTGGCACTTCTTGTTTACCACAGCACTATTGCCAACAGCCAGGATATGGAGTCCACCAAAGTGTCCACCAGTAGATGAACAGACCAAGAAAATGTATGTGTATATATAGAGATGGAGATGGGGATGGGGATAGGGATGGAGATAGGGATGGGGATAGGGATGGGGATATAGTTAGAACAATGGAATGATACATAGGTAGATCATATAAAATACACACACACAAATAATGGTATGCTAGTCAGCCATAAAAGGTTGAAATCTTGTCATTCATGACAACAGATGAAGCTAGAGGACGTCATGTTAGGGAGAATAACCAGGCATTAAAGGACGAATACACATGACCTCATCCACGTGTAGAATCTAAACAAGCTGACTGCGCAGAAGTTAGTATAGAATTACAGCCACCACAAGGCAGGGATGGGGTGGCCAGGAGGAGTAGAGAGAGGGCTGTCAGTGGGTGCAGAGTGATGGATAAGTGACCATCTAGCTCTTTCTAGAACTATCTAGCTCTGGTGAAGGGTGACTATGCTTAATAATGTATTCTACATTTCCAAATAGCTAGAAGACAAGGTTTTTAATGTTCTCATCACAAATATTTAAAGAAATGGATGTGCCAATTACTCTAATTTGATCTTTACATAATGTCTACATGTATCAAAGCATCACTCTGTATACCATGTATACATGTATTTATGGCCTTCAGAAATTTAAATCACTAATTAGAAAAGTCATTGTAGGGTATGAGGATTGTGCCTCAATAAAAACGTTACTTTAGAAATGAGGATTATTTGGGGTGAGCATTTGGTGCAGCAGTTAAAACGCCACCTGGAATTCAGGGTGCCTGGTTCAAGTCCCAGCTCTGCTCCGATTCCAGCTTCCTACTAACGTGTGCCCTGGGAGGCAGCAGACGATGGCTCAAATACTTGGACCCTGGCTACCCCCATGGGAAATGCAGACTGACGGCCAGGCCCAGTCCTGACTGCTGTGGGTGTTTAGGCAGGGCACCAGTAGATGCTGGTCTCTGTCTGCCTCTGCTTCACTTTCTCTGTCTCTGCCTTTCAAATAACATTAATTAATGCAAAACAGTATACAATATGTGTAAAATATCACATTGAATAGGACAGATATGTATAATTTAAAATAAATAAATAAATTACACGCATAAAAGGCGAGAACAAAAAGCACAGGACCCTGTGACCCAAGACAATGAAAGGGAGGCAAAAATATTTCTCTAACCAGTGCTGGGGAGGCTCCCTCGTCCCCCTAAGCTCAGCGGATGTGAGTCTAGAGTAGCTTGTGGCTTCCCTTTCTGCTGCCTGCAGTAAGAGGCGGGAGAAGAGAGAAGAGGGGGGAGGAGGAAGAGGAGGAGGGGGAGGAGGAGGGGGAGGAGGAGGAGGAGGGGGAGGAGGAACATCAAGAGTGGACTTGGCCCTACAATTAGAAAGTCGCAATAGATGTGTGGATTGTGCAATCAGAGCGAACTTCTGGAATCGAAGATGGAAGACGGGTTAAATGAGGTGGCTGATGGTTAAATTAACTCGATTGTGTTACAGGTCATAGAGGGAACTAGAATCCATTTCTCCCAACATTGGCTGCTAAGTTCTGTTCTCTCTCACCTGCTCTGCTCCGGACCCACTCTTACCGGGCAGCCGTCTGTTCATGGGATTCGGGCACCCTCTAATCACTACCTCTCTTTTTTTTTTCTTTTCTTTTTTTTTTTTTTTTTTTTGACAGGTAGAGTTATAGACAGTGAGAGAGACAAAGAGAAAGGTCTTCCTTCCATTGGTTCACTCCTCAAATGGCTGCTATGGCCGGCGCTGCGCCGATCCGAAGCCAGGAGCCAGGTGCTTCCTCCTGATCTCCCGTGCAGGTGCAGGGGCCCAAGGACTTGGGCCATCCTCCACTACACCCCACCCCCCACCCCAGGCTACAGCAGAGAGCTGGACTAGAAGAGCAGCAACCGGGACTAGAACCCGGTGCCCATATGCGATGCCGGCGCCACAGGCAGAGGATTAGCCAAGTGAGCCACGACGCCGGCCATCTAATCACTGCCTTTCAAAAGTGCCCCTTTTCATTAGGGTGAAGTCAAGAATGCCTGGCTGACCCGCAGGCCTGCCTTGAGCTGCCACTCCTTCCAGCTGCTCCTCGGGCCTCTCAGCACTGGACTGTGCTTATTCCTAATCCACCAGCTCCTCTCAAATGTGATCAGCAATTTCCAGTGTGCTTGTCGCTCCTTTCCGCCCTGCCCGCCACACCCTGCGTCCCTCCCCCACCCTTGGTTTGAAGGTCAGTTCCCCAGGAATGGACACTCTCCCTGCTCTTCCTATCCCTGCCCCCAACACATGCACGGGACGTCTATTCCTCTCCGCACATGGTCCCCTGCGCTGGCCTCAGGAGAGACAGTAGCTCCCGTAGAGTGGCTGCCTTCCCTGGGACCTGCTTGTCCTGTTCCCCACTGCCTCTCCCCCACACAAACCACAAAGCCAACGCTAACAGCACCCTTGTGAGGTGATACACTGGGTCCCCGTGAGCTCTGTGGCAGCGGGGCCTCCCGTGTGTGAGGGCTCCCCCGACATTTCAGTGGAGTTGATAAAGAAGAGGCCCTGGGCACTTGCCCCGGCATCACCAAAAGATCCTTGGACTACAGCTCTGTAGCAAGCTCAGAAATCCCTTGGAACTGACCCTCAAAAGCTGGCCGTGTGCGTGTGAGATCCGCCCATGAAGTTACACTCATGAGAAACTTGGGAAACTGTGAATAGCCTGTACACACAATACCTCACCATGGGAGTTTCCTGGTAGTTGGTTTCATTACTTCCTAATTCTAAAATAGTTAGGGTGTGGGTATATTAATACGATGGGGACATTAACTCGTAGATGCAATTACTGAAGTTGAAACTTCATACTCTTTTAATGTCATTTTCACTAGAGAATGAGATCCTGAAAGACTAATAAAAATGTGAGAATAGAGAAAGATGTGGAACAGGTTAGCTTGTATAATAATAGAAACATTTTGTAAATGCCTGTTAAGAGTTATACCCATGAACAAGCAATGTACAAGTGAACAGGTCGTGTAAAATTACGCTGCCCCTAGTTTAAAGTCAACAGACTTCCTCTGTGTATCACATACTCGATCATTTCTTCTCCTTTTTTCTTTATTCACTCAAAAATATTTATCACCAAGAATACACCTTGTATCAAACATCTTCCTAGACTGACAGAAGCACACTCTCCAGACTCTTCAATATCATTCCCTACCATTCAATACAATAAATCTGCAATATAATTTCAAGGTGGAAATTTATACATTACTCATTTCACTGGAATCGCCTTCAATGCCACTGGGAAGTAAAGAAGGGTGCAGCCATCGCTGGGAACCCACAGATACCAGGTTCTGGATGGGCATGTCACACCCATCAACTTAATTACAAGATTCCTCAGCAACCTATAAGGTGATCGGTATCACCATCCTTTAACAGACCACGAAGCTGAGGATCTTGAAGGTTAATATGTTGACCTGGACTGCAGAACTGGTACCCAGCTTCGAGCACTGGTCCAACCAAAATGTTCCTCTTCCTTCCACTAAACCACAGTACTAAGGAGCCACACGCTTGGATCTAAAACTATCTGATAACTGTTATTTGAGGTCGCGTCCCGAATCTTGGAGTGGGATAGCAAGACAGAGAAAGAGAAAGAGGGAGGGAGGGAGGGAGGGTGAGGGATAGAAGAAGTGGAGGAAATGGAAAAATGAGATGGTAGGTGTCCAAGTTGTGCTTAGCTAAGCCCGGGGTGATGATCCAACGACTGTTTCAAACCACCCTGCTGTTTGAAGGATCACCCAGACCCTAAGAGGTGCTAAGCGAAGACAGTGTGACCCCGGTCATACCTCTTCACTGCTGTCAGAGTCGGACATGGAGGACCAGTGGCAGCGAGCCCACACACCCTGCACCTGCTCTGCAGACATCTGCACTGTGCTCCTGCACGTGAGTGTTGGCTGGGAAAGACAAAACAATGAGTCACACCTTGGGAAGGTCATGGGAGGAGCGAACTCTACGTAATAAATCAAGCAGTACTGCAGGACCTGATAAAATGACACAGAAGGGAAAAATTTACGGAGGCATTTCAATTTTCCAAAATGAAAATCTCTCAGGACTAAAAGCAGAAAGAAATGAAATCCTTGAATATCTCAGGAAAGCAAATGTTCCCCTCATGGGCACTGAGTGGGTGCCTCGGGTCCACCCACTCCCTCCCCATCTTTGTCCGCATTTCCTTAGAAATAGACACCTATGACTCTTCGTTTGGGATCCTTTGTAAGCCACAGTGAAACGTTTCAAGAAGCAAAAAGCTAAACAATCAATCTTCTTCAAAGCAACAAACCTTGAAGCCGAATGCAAACACGTTGGAAAGCAAATTTTGGATTGGCACCTGCATTGTCCCATTCAGATAGGACTCCTGCCCATGAGTGTTGACCAAGCATTGTGCCTTGTTCTGGTTACAGGGACACAGACATGGTCATACCATGTTCCCAGTCTCACGGACCCTGGACCAGTGAGGAAGACATTATACACAATTATCAACAGCAAAATAAAGCCACATGAGCCAGCAACACAGGCGGGGATTGATGGTCACTTGTAGTAGCTTTGAGATGTGCCTGGGATGTTTCTTTGGTGTTGGCCTTTTTGTATTCACTTGAATACACTGACAATTCCTCTCCATTTAAAAGAGCAGCAAACGCAGGTGTCAGGGGTTAATATACCAGGCTCACTCAGGACCACAGACTCTGCAGCTCAAGAGCCCAAGTCCTCAGCCACCGGACCACACTGCTGTCACCAGGGCAGAGTTTGGATACAGCGGTGTGGTCGGATGCCACCCAGGAAGCAGCCAAGCTCTCCGTGTGACTCCAAGTCAGCTCCAGGACACTGAGGAACCAGGGCTCCTCCCTACATTACTTTCTGGGGTCCACTCTTGCCTCGCACACTCACCACATAGTAGCCCCTTTGGAAGGCGCACGTGGAAGGATCTCCTCCAGAATCCGCCCTGCACGTAGTCTCTCGCAGGCTGAACTCCAAATTCATGATCACAGTGTCCTCGTCCAAGGCATTGACCTTCAAAACACCAAGGGTCAGTTTGCGATAGATGGGCTTGTGAAGTTCCTCCTCCTAGAAAGGAGCCCCTCTGGCCAGTGGTAAAACAGTCATTCAGCACCAAAGCTACCGATTGCCTTTGCAGTCACCTCGTTTTGTGCCACAGTCCTCAAGACCAGAGATTTACCAGAATTTGACGTCCTAATAGTGTAGCGATTTATGTTGACAATCGACCTTCATTACTCATGGATCTCACACTTATACAGTGTCTGTACACTAAAGCTTATCTTTAACCCCAAATCAATACTGAGAATCCCTTTTCAGCCACTCATGGACATGTGTAGAAAGGGGAGAAATTTGAGTCTTATAACATGCACATTCCCAACCCCGCTGCACAGGACAGGCCACCCTTCTGCATCAGCCCCTCCCACAGTAAACATGTGTGCCTCCTGCGCTCTGCTTACTGCTCCAGTTTTTGCAAGTTCTTGTTTTTGGGGCAGTAATTTATCCCTGTTTAAAATAGTCCCCAGCCTAGAGCTGAAGAGCTGTGTAGCGTTCCTAAAAGCCAGAAGCTGTGCTATGTGCCTTAGGGAGAAAATGTTAGACAAGCTCTGTTTAGGTGTGAATTTACAGGGCCTTTGGCGGTGAGTTCAATGTTAATGAGCCAACAGTGTGTAATAAATAAGCTATATTCAAACAAGAACTCAAAAAACAAGGCTACGTATTGATGGGTCAGTGAAAACGGTGTCACTGAAGACGTGCAGAAACCTAATCCTGTGTTCCCCCTGGAAGCTAGGATTCTGCATTTATGAACCCAGTATTTACGGCGACTTTAAATAGCATTATTCCTGCAGATAACCAGAAGCAACTGCATGCATGTTTAAGTGTCATTTTTCCTAAAGGAATGCTCTATAATTTCTCAATTTCTGAAGTAGGTCATCCAGCAACGGGTGTCTGTTCTGCACAGAATACTATCCAGCCCTGGCTTCCTGCTTGAGCAGCTGGGATATGTGAGTGAATGAGCGTGATTTTCTATGCCTTTCTACCAAGGGTGCAACACTGGGGGAAGCTTCCAGACTTTCTGAGGAGTGCCGAAAGTTCTGTGGATGCAGAAGTCTTTGATTCCCTGAGTGCTCGCTGTGTGTGAGCACCAGAGGCAGACAGGAAAGAAACCACACAGCTTAGGTTCCAGAGGGGATGCCACCCAGGAAATACATCAGGGGAAACTAAACCAGATCATTCCGGATCGTTAAGGCACCATGGAGAACAGAGCAACAAGAGTGCAGTATAGGGGTGGGGGCAGCTGCTTTGGAGAAAGTGCCAGAAAATGTCTCCAGAAGAAGAGAAATCTGAACACAGACTTGGAGGCTGGGAAGGAGCCCACCATGTAGGATAAAGCAGAGCCAACGCACTGAGGCAGAGAGAGAGGTCTGACGGTGCAGCCATGGAGACACGCAGGAGAGAACCCACGGTGCTGGAGAGATGGGGAGACACAGACACCTGTTTTCCCAGCCCTTGGGAAGGCTTTCCTATTTCATTCTCATTGCAAGGAGAATCATCAGAGTTACTGCTGAGTCACCATGGTTGCTGTGAACAGATGGGACCAGGGGCAAGATGGTGGCCGGAAGACCAAGTAGGAGCCCACCGAGGTCTACCCAGTGCCTAAAAACTGCTGCCTCCCAGGGTCTGCATTCGCAGGATGCTGGAGCCAGGACTAGAATCCAGGCACCACTCAGGCCTTCTGGTATGGGATGGAGGCATCTCAATTGCTGGGCCAGGTGTCCATCCCCATGTCAGCATTGACCTTCAAGCATTTGATGACAGCAGACTGGCAACTCAAAAGTTTAAGCTGAAAAGATTCAATTGTGGGTTTTTTCAGGCACAGATAATTTTATTGAACTAAAACAGATGACTTTGCAACTTTTTTGCATCTTCAACCACTCTTTCTAGAAAATGGAGAAACCCCGGTCACGTCTGCTCTTTCACAAACTCATAGCCGGTGAACTTCCGCTCCAGGCTGTGTGACAAACGTAGGACAGCCTAAAAGCACCACAATAAGAAATCCAGAACCCAGAACCCAGAGTATGGCTGAAATAAGTTGAGATCTTCCTACGTCTGAAACTGTTGTCACTCAAGTGAGTCTTAGCTCAGCCATGACAGCCTCCATGGGGACTTTGGTCCCCTCTGGCCCCTGCTCCAGCCCTGCACCTTCCACTGTCAGCATGCTTTGTTTTCTCTGAAGAAATGAACTGGATTAACGAATTTAATTGTGGCCCTCGCACCTCCCTTCCCTCTCTCCCCACAGGAGACCCTGAGCTCAGCCTCCTCTGTCCCAGCGCAGGGCTGTGCCCACCTTCCCTTTCTCGCGTGGGTCCACTGAGGAACAATCCAAGTGAGGCTAAGGTCAAGCCTGGAGCAAGGAAGCCATGGGCGCTGCTCACGTTTCCCCACCCTCTCTCATCCTTCTGCAAGCTTGGAGCCCGAGAGGGAAGTCAGTTGCTAGAGTATTTGATCCAGGTCTATTGGTAAAACCCAGTGGTTCTCAAGCCTGACTGCATGTTCGAATGATGAGGAGAGCTTTGAAGATGAGCCCCAGGGGCCAGCGCTGTTGTGTAGCAGGTAAAGCCACCACCTGCAGTGCCAGCATCCCATATGGGTGCCGGTTCAAGTCCTGGCTGCTCCACTTCCAATCCAGCTCTTTGTTGTGTCCTGGGAAAGCAGCAGAAGATGGCCCAAGTCCTTGGGCCCCTGCACCCATGTGGGAGACCTGGAAGAAGCTCCTTTCTCCTGGCTTTGGATCGGCACAGCTCCAGCCATTGCAGCCAACTGGAGAGTGAACCAGCAAATAGAAGAACTTACTCTCTCTCTCTCTCTCTCTCTCTCTCTCTCTCTGCCTCTCTGTAACTCTGCCTTTCAAATAAATAAATAAATCAAAAAAAAAAAAAAAAGAAGAAGAAGAAGAGCCCTGCTTTCAAGGGTGGTGACACAGTCTACTACCCTGCTCGACATCAGGAATACTTACAGCTCTCAGGTGATGCTGATGTGCAGCTGGGGTCCAGAACCAGAGGCCTTATTAAGCAAAACCAGAGATAAAGTAGAAGAGCCAGACCCTCCTCCCTAAGCCCACTGCCCTCTACCTGGGATCTCCCCCATGTACATCCACAGGACTAAAGCACTTATCTCCTGTGGGCGTGTTCCTAGGAGGGAAAGGGTGCAGACAAAAGTTTAATGTATTTGCTTATATATATATATATATATTGCTTATATATATTTATATATATAAAGCATATACTTATAAAGTATAAGCAAATAAAAGTGTGTGTTAATACACTTAACACACACTTCCAAATTGCTTTTCAAATTTTACCAAATTACTACCTCTCTCATAGTGTTTGAGATTTCTTTTTTACCTTGTTAGTCTTCCTTTTCACTTGTTATTTTCATTCTCTCTCTCTCTCTCTCTCTCTCTCTCTCTGTGTCTCTCTCTCTGCCAATAGAGAGGCCTAATGTTTCCCAAATATTTGAATTGTCCGCATCCTCCATGCTGGTTATCCAATCACTCAACTCTCCCTGAGGACGATGTCTCCAGGTGTGGCCCCTGTCTAGCACTGGTGCATCCGGGCCCAGCTGTGGGGCATTTGTGGAAGATGCGATTACTACACAGCATAAAGCCACCTGTGGAATGCTTCCAGGAGGAAAGAGGAGAGCTCAAGGACGGCCTCCTTCCGATGGGAAAAATCGAGCTTCCGCAGAGGGCACAGTGAAGGTAGTAGCTTCACCGACAAGTCTGGATGAGCAGCAGAGGTTGGGGAGAGACAAGGACAGGCCAACTCCATGGTAGAAGAGCAGCATCTCTCATTCCCATGCCCATATGCCCATCAAGGATCACATGACATACGGGGCGAGGTGTTTATTTTTCCAGCCTGTAGTCTGGGTCTGGCTATATACGCCCACACCAAGATGGTGCCCACACCAAGATGGCGTCCACACCAAGATGGCGCTCACACCAAGATGGCGCCCACACCAAGATGGCCCCCACACCAAGATGGCGCTCACACCAAGATGGTGCTCACACCAAGATGGTGCCCACACCAAAATGGCGCCCACACTGGAATGTGCCCTGGTGTCTAATACGTCATACTAGCTCATCTCCCCAGGCCAAATTCCCATGGAAACAGTGAGCGGTTCCCTCAGGATCTGCCCTCACATTCGAGTTTGTGTAATTAATGAGAACTCTCTTCTGTAGTGAGCAATAACTACATTGCAAGGAAATTCAGGCTGCTCATCTGCCAGCCTGGAAAGACAACCCAGCCTCCACACCACAGCCACAAGTGGGTTTCTTCAGACGCCAACAGAAACTGGTGCCTGCTAGCCAATCCATGTGGGACTCTCTGTTCTGACCCAGCAGTCTTCTGGAAGGGGCTCACCTCTAGCGCAGCAGCTGCCCACACGTGTCTTGTGAGGTTCTCACACCCCAGCACCCAGGGCTGTGCCCACAGTAGTCTGGGTCTGGGGTGGGCACTTAACTAAAGCCTGGCCTTTTGTCCGTTACTATAATGAAATACCGGAGGCAGGCTACCTGATGAAGACAAGAGGGCCATTTACCTCTCAGTGCAGCCTCAAAGTCAGCACGACACGGCGGGGGCTCTTGGAAGGCTCCCGGCTGTGTGCCTTCATGGCAGGTGCCTTTTTAGTGGTGGAATCTTGGGCACCACAGAACATCACAAGGCAAAAGACAGGCCTGTGCCTTTCGTGTCTGTCCCTCCTCTGATAACGTCACCAGGATCCAATCATGGGGCCACCACCCTAACGAACTTAGCTAAAGCCAGCCACTTCCCGAAGACCCCTCTCTACCCCCCCCCCCCCGGGGTCTCAGTAAGTTCCCACCCTCTTCATTCCATTAACACAGGACTTTGGAAATTTAACTCTTGCATGAATTCGGGGAAACACACCACGTGTAAGCTGTAGCCGACCCAGTTAGGGAAGACAGCTGGGCCAATTTGATTAAATCCCTTTGGGACTTGGAAAAGTGAAACGGAGGCAGTTTCCCAAGGAGAAGGTCAAGGTGGAGATTCTGTACTTGGAGATTGGAGCTGGGAAACCGTGCGCCCTGTGCACTGCGGAGCAGCAGGGGGGATGAGCTAAGCGCAAGCTAAGGGGGCAGCCAGGAGGGGTGGCGAAGGGAGCTGAGAAGTCCGCCTGAGCAGCGGGGACGCTCCCCGCCAAATCCTCACGCCTGTTCCACGCAGCCCAGCTGCACCGAGTTCTCAGGCCCAGGACCTGTAACGTCACAGACAACGCCCAGCTGCCACCTTCAGCTGAATCCGCTGGAGGGTATTTCTGTCCCTGCCCCCACATGAGCCCCATTAGGTCGATAATAACCAGTGGAATCACCCGGGGAAGGGGGGGTGTGGAGACTTGTCCCCAGGGGTCTAACGTCACAGACTTAGCCATCAGAAGCCCCCACCCCCACCCCAGGCCCTCCTTGCTTAGTCCCCAAGGCTAGCAGGAAATGGAATGTCACACCGACAGAGGAGAGTGGATTTGTTTAGCTCAGAAGTCAGAATTTATTTCCTATAGTCTTCGGAGCAGAATTTCCAGTGAGAAATTCTTGATAAAATGCGTGAGGGGCTGGGGGCAGGGGCCGGGGGCAGGGAGAGGGGGGTGAGGATGTAGGGGCAGGAGACAGCAGAAGGATCAGGCTTCAGAGGTGGCATTGAAAGCGTCACAGCCAAAGATGTCACAAACGCTTCCTCTGTCCCGGAAGAGGTGCACTCGCTATTGTTTTTAAACTGGAGACGCTTTTGAAAAGCACGGCCAATAAGCTGACAGAAGCCAAGAGAGAAGGCAGAGTCGAGGCGGGAGGGGAATCTCCCCGAATCACTTACTCTTCTCAGCGAGCTTCCGAACGCCCGGAGCAGGTACGGACTCAGCGACTGCGAGTTCACCTTGGCCACGGAGGCCCTGAGGGCTTCCCGGAGGGAGGCAGGCTCGTAGTCGTACACGGGGAAGCCTGGGCACACAAGCACACGGCGGCAGTCAGGCCGCACGGGCCGGGGGCCTGTGCCCCGCCCGCAGCAGGCGCCCTGGCACAGAGCTCCTTACCTGCGCAGGACCAGAGGTCCGCTCCAAGAGCAAACGCAAGCAGCACCCTCATCACCACCCTCTCCGTGCCGGACAGCATCTCTCCGATCTGGGGGCCAGGGGACTTGTCTCCGTGGGGACTCGGGAGTGACAGCTCTTCCGGGAGCCACCAGCCCGGTGCAACGTGGCCCTGCTGCTTGCTCTCTGATCGCAGAACCTGTGGCCTACACAGAAGCGATTGATCCTGGGGCCAATGTTTACTGCTGACTTTGGTGGAAAGGTTCCAGCGTGAGGCCACTGTGGAAGCTCAGACCACACCGGAGGACTTTAGCCCACAGCAAAAGGCATCAAGGGGCTTGGGGCTCCACCCACGCTTGCTGTTCACCTTCTCTGTCTGGGTTTCATCCGCCTGGGCTCCTTGTTTTCTCCTCTTAGTTCTATTCTTTGGTGGGAGGAGATACAATCTCGCTCATCAAAACGGTCGGCTCTCGGGGGTTGTGTGTTGAGTTTTCGCTCACGGTTCTCCAGACCTTGGAAGTTGACCGTTCAGGAAAACAGTCAAGGTCATGTCTTTGAGGGAAATTATGACTACGAAGACGAGAATGCTACACGGGCTCTGGAGTTCTGAGCAAGAACACGGGCGTGAGTGAACGGCTGTGAACTAGCCCCCTCTTGTCAATCTCGGCCAGCAGGCGTGTTTGCATGTCACCTCTGTGATAGGCAGTTACTTATTGATTATTTTCATGTACTATTCGATCCCCAGGCCATTTGTAAGCTATTAAAGGGATACACGACACGAAATAGAGTTTGTTATGTGAAGGTCACTGTGTTCTTACTCATCGAACCCAGGCATGGGAAGCTCACCGACCTGCACCTGAGGAAGAGCTGCACCGGGATCTCGGCTCTCCCTTTGCCAGGTGAGCACCCTTGGGGATGGTGTTCAACACCACTGAACCTCAACTTCTTCAGCTGTGCAATGGGCACAAATGTTAGGTATCAGGTGTTGTGTTGGCACAGGTTCTTCAGAGGAAGAGAACCAGTGAGATGCACATTAAGGAACAGCCTCCCACACAGTGGAGGCTGGCAGGTGCAGAATCTGCAGAGTGGGCCGGCAGCCTGGGGAGCCAGGGGAGAGCTGAGGTCTCCTGGCACAGTTCCTCCTGGACAGGGGGAGGTCCATCTTCATGGTCCAAGCTTTCAACTGATTCAGTGAGGTGCACCCTCCTCGTGGTGGTGAATCATTATTGCACTTAAAAAGACCCTCAGAGAAACATCTAAACTTTTAACAAAATACCTGGATATCATAGCCTAGCCAAGTCGGCCCATAAAATTAATCACCCGGTAAGTATGAAATGGCAAGACCCAAGAAAAGTGCTTGGCAGATTGCACCATAAAGGGCAACCACTTGGAAGAATTCAACTCAATAGTTTTTTACTCTGTAAGGCAACAGGTGCAGAGAAGGCCTTAAAGGAACTAGAGCTAGCCTGCTGCACGTGACCAAAGAAGAGGGAGGGGCCAGTGAGGAGGCTTAAATCCCTAGAAGAATTCAGAGAGGGGCTGAAGAAAGACTTCCTGGAGAGGGTGGGGTATTAGGCGATTTGGTCTCTCCTGTGACACCCAGTGGCCAAGGGATCATTTGTCTCTTTGAACTTGGCCTTTGATGGATACAAACTAATCCAACAGAACACAAGAGGCCCAGGAAGAAAGAACAGAAAGGGGAACCCAGGAGGGGGCTTGAAGCTTTCTGCCCAAGGACAGCACAGCACGGAGCCATGGCCTGCTGTCGCCTACCACGTGGGGGAGGAGCCAGCAACACCAGAGAGCGGCACAGCAGGGGCACTGCGCACCCTGTAAGCAAGCAGCTTCCTACATCCGAGCGCTGCCTCGGGCTCGCCTGCCTTCTTCATGGAGGGGCAGAATCGCGCTTCTGACGACCCCACCCCTGACTGCATCACGATGCTCCTGGGAGTATCTCCTGCCCTCACCCAACAGGTGCTCTTCCTAGGCATCTTACGGATCAGCGCTTTGGCACCCAAGAGTGTTTCAAATCCCGGGATGATCTCCAAGGTGTAAATGCCATGACTCTGGCTCCAGTAGTTTCTGGCTGCTTTCCCTCCACTGGGTTCCAGCTGCCCGAGCATCCTTGTTTCCTTGGAGACACTAAGTGATCTTTGCCTGTGCTGTTTCTGTCCTTTAACATCCCCCCCCCAAGTCAGCTCCTGCCCATTGCTCAGGTCCCAGCCTAGGCAGCAGCTCCTGGGAGAGCTTCCTGGTGGGTCACCCCCCTGTAGCACCCCCTCTACCCCTCTGCACCTGCTCTCTGCTTGCTCCCTTCCTTGCACAAACACATAGTGACCTTGCTGGTTATATAGTGACCTTGCTGGTTACATAGTGACCTTGCTGGTTGTTGCATAGTGACCTTGCTGGTTATTACATAATGACCTTGCTGGTTGTTACATAGTGACCTTGCTGGTTATTACATAGTGACCTTGCTGGTTATATAGTGACCTTGCTGGTTATTACATAGTGACCTTGCTGGTTACATAGTGACCTTGCTGGTTATATAGTGACCTTGCTGGTTATTACATAGTGACCTTGCTGGTTACATAGCGACCTTGCTGGTTCCCTGGATGCCCTCAGTCCCCTCTGGTGGACTATAAGCTCCACAGGGCGGGGCCAGGAGTGTCTTGTTGATGCTATACTGGAGCACCCAATGAAGCATTTGTGGAATGAATGAATGAATGAGAGTGCATCATTGATCTGAGTTTAATCCCAGTGTTTTTGTCTGCAGCCTCCACTCATTTCTGGTGTGTAACAGGTACTCAGAGCAGTATGCTATGAGGTAATGACCACTAAAATTTGTAATTCTATTACTTTTAACCTGGTTTGAACTCAATTCCATTAGAGTCTTCCAGTTTTAACAAACGGCACCATCTGGCTGCGAACTCCATGGTCTCATTAAATGAGGAGCAGTAATAAAAGTGATTTGCAAGAGAGGAGAGGAGATGCAGGAGACGACAGCGAAACAATGTTGCCAGCACAGGCTATTGACTTAATCTGTGGCTTGCTGGTGTGGAGAGAGATCATTGTATCTCTCAGGGTCTCTAGGCTACAATTAAGTGTTGGCACCAGGCACACAGAGCGAGCACTGATTAGCGCTAAAAAGCAATGATCTAAAACTGCCTCGCAGAGTCTGTCATAGCTGGTCAACCTAGAAGATCAACTAGAAGCCATCCTTTGAAATTCGGGCCATCACGGTTGCTTTTATCATTCTTTTCTCCCATCTGCAGGAATGCGTGTGGCAGTAACTCCGGCAGTTTTCTGCTGTTCCAACACAAATTATTTAGCCAAGGAATTAAAAATTATGTGGCACTAAGTGAATGGTTTGCGTAGCCCTTTTACACAGCCCCTGGAAATGTCTATGAAACTCATCACGGAAAGCCTGACGAAGGGGATCAGCAAGATACGGAGCAAAGAGGGACCCGTGTCTGTGCACGGGCTCGCTCGCTTCCTCACAGTCCCCTTGGTCACTCCTCTCCAGGCTGCGTCTTTTCATGCTGGTGGCCATCTCTAGAGTGACATTGCTTGGGAAAAATCACTAAACCCAGAGCAAACGTAAACCAAATCTTCCCCTGGCCCATCAACCACATACTTTGCATCCGCCTTCCTATTTCGTGTAACAGCAGGAATTCCAGACTCCTGACCTCTGCCGTCAGGACTCCCCTTGGTGGCCTACAGTCACAACCCTCAGTGTTCTGGAAACTTCCATACTGTTGTTACATTCAGATCACGAGTTCTCTAAGTGTGGTCTCTGAACCCGCAGCTGCCGCAGCATCACCTGGGAGTTAAAAAAAAATTAAAATTATCCAGAGCGGCCTCAGTCCTGCTAAATCACATTCCTCCTCAGTTTCCAACCAAGACTCTGCTTGCAGCCTGCACCCATTTATCGCACTGCGACAGCCCGCAGAGTCACCTGTGGTTTAGAAGTCCCCGAGGGGGCTCAGCTGGGGTCAGTTTGCCCAAGGGGGCACTGGCACTATTGGAAGAGACTAGCAGTGGTCACAGCTGGGGCGGGGGGGTGTGCCTGGCACCTGGAGGATACAAGCCAGAGATGCCGCAGGACCTGCTGTGATGCACAGCCGCCACGCTTCGTCCGGTCCAAAATACCTCGAGTGCCAGGGCTGAGAAGCCTTGGTGGGCAGGAAAGAAGCTCCAAGGAGCAGCCCTGAGTATTAATCACCATGTCCTTGGTATTTATTTACCCGGCACCCTTGGGGAGCCCAACGCCAGGGCCCTCAGTTAGCTCTCGGATGACATCCAGAGGCTGGCCTTGGCGAGATGCTGCCCGGAAGCCGGGTAGGCGGAAGGGTAGCACGAGCTGCAAACAGGGTTCCGTGGTCTGAGACCCTCAGCGAGGCGAAAGGACACGCCGTCTTCACCCCAGACCTCCTGGCCCCCGAAATGCCAATGCCCATGGTGACTCTCACAGAAGTGGGAACTCCGGCTTTCTCAAGCGGCCGGGAAGACTAGAAAGCACTTGTCTGCACTCTGGTGTTGCCTCTCCTTTGGGCAAAAGCCACCTACCAGACATGAAGAGAGAGCTTGGCGCTGGCTCAGCCTGCACTGCTGTCTTCCTGGTGCCGTTGAACGTGTTTTCAATGTCAACGTCCTGTGCTCTTCCCCTGCGTCTTCTTCTTGGAGTTTCGCAACGCCAGGGCTCCTGTCTCGGTCTTGGACCCATCTCAGTGCTATCTGCCTGTGTGTGATGATGCAGGTGTAGTTCCTTATCTGCCTGTGTGTGATGATGCAGGTGTAGTTCCATGTGGAGATGTCCGGTTTCCTGACGTCGTTTGTTGGAGGATCTGAACTCTCCCGATCGCGCTCTCTGGACGCCCTTGTGGAAGCCCCGCCGCTCGCTCTTGTGTGGGTTTATTCCAGGCCTCCCCATTCTGTTTCTCTGGGCTGTCTGTCCGTCTGTCTGCCAGTGCCACAGTGCTGCCATTACTGTGGCTTCGGAATATATTCTGAAATCAGGAACTGGGATTTCAGCTTTGTGGTTCTCGGTAAAGATTGATTTGGGTATCTGGAGACTTTTGAGCTCCTTTAGGAATTGTAGAATTGGTGTTTTTTTTTTTCCATTTATGTAAAAATGTCATTGGGATTTTGATAGGGATTGCACTCAATTTGTGGATCATTTTGAGTAGTATGGGCATTTTAACAACATTGATTCTTCCAATCTATGA